AGCACAGCACGACCGTAGACCGCGTTCGATTATCGATCAACCACACGACTACTAAGAATACAACGAGAACGAATGTCGCGAACAAGACCAGTGACGCACAAGCGCAGACCAGCAACGCACAAGCGCAGACAAGAGCAGACACCCCAGCATCCGCCAACCATGAGGGCATCCATGAAGCTTGCGCTCCTTGTGGGCGCCGTGGCAATCCTGTTGACGGTTGCTTCAACAGCCAACACCACCTCCCTCTTTGGGCACAAGGGGGAAGAGCCAAAGCCTGCTGCATCGGACGACGAGGGCTCCTTTGTCGACTCTGTCAAGACAACCATGGCCCACACTGCAGAGAGCATCTCGGATATGGCTGACCGGGTGCAGCACACCATCACAGACCCGTTCCGCGGCACCACGCCCGACCGCATTGTGCAAGACGCCGAGCAGAACATCAACAGCTTCGAGAAGGCCATCACCGAGACGGTTGATGATCTCCTGGAGCGCGCAGACGCCCTCAGAACCAAGTATTCCAACGCAGACACCTCCGAATGGACACCAGAGCTCAAGAAGCAAGGTGCGGTTTGTGTGTGTCGTATGTGTGCGTGTGTGCCTTTATGTGTGTGTATGACAATGTACACGTATATTTTGTGTGTGTGTGTGTGTTTGTGTGACAATGTCCATGCATATGTGTGTGTGTGTTTGTGTGTGCGTGTCTGTGTTTGTACATGTGTGATATGATGTCGGTGAGAAGGTGTTCTACTTTTCCAATCGTGTGCTAATGCGCGTCCAATCAACCACGCCCCTCCCCCAACACACGCACATATCCTTGCTCCCTCGGGTACAGCCAAGACGCTTGAGCGGCGCCTGCGCTGGCGCGCAAACTCGCTGCAGAACCTCAAGAAATCGTTCAAGTGGAGCACCGATTACGTGCAGGACTTCCTTGATGACGTGCGCGAGGCAACGCAGTCGCGCGTGCAGCAGGCGGCGCACTGGACGGAGGAGAAGGCCGAGGCCGGCCGCGACTTTGCACGCGAGCAGGCGCACGAGTTTGCAGAGAAGTTCCCTGCGCTGATTGAGACGGGCCGGGCGGAGATGCGGCGGCGGCTCTCCCGCGACAACATCGAGGCCACGTGGGAGGAGGCCGAGCACGCCATGGAGACGGCGGCGGAGTCCGTCTGGGACTCGGAGGCCAGCGTCGCCGTGCGCAACCGCGTCAACGACCTGCTGAAGAACGGCAGCGAGTTTGCACGCGGCGTGTACGAGGACACGCGTCGGATGATGCAATCTGCAAAGGAGGCCGGCGAGGAGCAGCGCAAGGCCCTCACAGACACCACGTCCCAGCTCTCAAACTTCCTCGGTGCGTGGGATGTATGCTTAGTGCTTATGTGTGTGTGTGTGCGAGTGTTGTGCGTTGTGTGCTTAGTGCTTATGTGTGCGAGTGTTGTGCGTGAGCGTATGCGTGTGTGTGTTGTGTGTTGTGCGTTGTGAGTGTGTTGTGCGTTGTGAGTGTGTTGTGCGTTGTGAGTTTGTTGTGTGTTGTACATGGTTGCGTGTTATTTATGCCTCCAGACACACCATGTCGTGCTTGCTCGGTTTGTGTGGAGTGAAAACTGCTTTTCATTTTTGGTTGCTTTCGCTTTGCCACAACAGCTCACACTTCAAGTTTGCATGCATGCATGCATGCATGCTGCGTGCCTGCCACCTTGCCCCCCTCCCCCAAAACCTAATTTGTCGCGTCATTGCAGAGACACAAGCGAAGCACACGCGCTCGACGGTGATTGAGCCCATGTTCTCGCTGACAAAGCCGCAGTCTGCCTCGGACGAGGTGTGCGAGGCCGTGCAGGAGGAATACTCGCGGGCAGAGGGCGCCGTGCAGGATCTCCTGGCCAAGTTTGATGTGGACACGCAGGCGCAGTGCGGCCTGACGCCGCCAAGCACGCTTGAGCGGGCAGCGGAGAAGGCTAAGGACTTCAAGGACACGGTCGTGAACAAGGCCAAGCACGCCACCGACGAGGCCAAGCTCAAACTGCGCAAGCTCAAGGACCGCGCACACCCAACAAACTGATCCATGTGTCTGCTCTGTGTGTGTGTGTGTGCTGTATGAGACGATGGATGTTGTGGACGTAGCTGTGCTGTGCGCGCGTATGAGATGGTAGTAGGCATTGTGCATGGCGGTCATGTGGTGCTCGTCTGGTGCGTCTTCTTCTTCTTCTCTGTCGACTGTTGGCAATGCCTCCCATAAATTTTCCCAACACGCCACAACAACCACCGAGCGAGATGAGCAACACCCTTGCGCGAGTGGCTCAGCGCATCGCTGCACAGGTGAGAGACCACACACACTGCCGCTGTTTGTGCAAGCAGAGGCGGTAGTGGGGATGCAGGGGGGGGCAATGATGCAGTGCAAAGGCGGTGCAAAGGCGGTGCAGAGAGGGCGCAGTGGTGCACGTCACAAACGCGCTCAGACTCACACACACACACACACACACACCCCTCATACTCACACACACACACA